TTTTATTTTTTGTTTACTGGCTGCATGGAATATTTTCTCCATCCTTTCATTTTCAGTCTGTTTGTGTCCTTATTTCCAAGGTGTGATTCTTGTAAAAAGGAAAAGGATGGAATATGGTGTTTTCTAAAACCATTCTGCCACTCTGCCTTTTGCATGGAGCATTTAGATCATTCACATTTCAGGTTATTACTGCAAATCAAGTGTCTACCTCATTCATTTTGCTATTTGTTTTTTTAAGTGTTTTGTATCTTGTTTTTTTTTTTTTTTAATTCTTGTTTTTCTGTTTTTGTTTGTATTTGGCAGCTTTCTTGTGATGAACCTTTTTACTTTCTTATTGCTTTTCTTCTGAGTATTTTTTCTTGGTGATTTCTTAGTAGTTACCACATATATTAGATAAGTTACAATTGTAACACTGTTTAATAATGAACAACAGTTAATATGTAACCTTAATATATTAAATCTATTCTTGATATTCTCCTTCCTCCCTCATTTCTTTTAGTATGTCTCTATTAACATCAATATACAATCTGTATTTGCTAAGTTTACTTTGTACTTATCTGATATTGTATTGTTTGAGGGATTTATTATTGAGTTTATTCCTTGAAAATATCTTACACTTGATCCTTAAGAATTGCTTGTGCTGTAGTTTTATTTGGGGGGGTTCTTGAGCTCTCAGATATAATGATCTATTTAATGCTTTTGCCTTTCCATTTGAAATACTCCCTTAAATCACTCTTGTAAAGCTGGTCAGGTAGTGGCAAATTCCAAGAGCTTCTGTTTATGTGGGAATGTCTTGATTTCTCCATTTCTGAATGACAATTTTGCTGGGTAAAGGATTCTTGGTTGGCAATTGTTTTTATTCAGTATTTTATATATGTTGCTCCATTTACTTCTGGTCTCCAGAGTTCCTGGGTAAAAATATACACTGATTCTAATGAAACACCCTATTGTTGTTTGCTGCTGAGTCAATTTTAACTCACAGTGACCCTACAGGAAAGAGAAGAACTGCCCCCCATGGGATTTCCAAAACTATAATCTTTACAGAAGCATACTGCCATATCTTTCTCCCACAGAGAACCTGGTAGGTTTGAACCACTGCCCTTTTAGTTTGCAGCCAACCACTTTGACCACTAAAGCACCAAACACTTAGATATATTTTACTGAGTTTTTCCCTGGCTGCTTTCAGAATGATCTCCTTTGGTTTTCAAAACTTTTACTAGGAAATGATGCAGAGCTGATCTTTTTAACTCTTCTAATTAAAGTTCCTGTAATTTCCTATATTTTCAGGCCTGTTTCTAGGAAATTCTAATTATCTCTTGGAAAATTACTTCTATGCCTTTATTGTTATGGTGCTCTGGGATTCCAATAATTCTAATGCTAGATTTCTAAATTGAATCTCATATTTCCATTTGGATGTGTTTCTTTTCTTTGTATTTTTCTCTTTTACTTGAGACTTGGTAAGTTCAGTTATATTATCTTCCGATTCATTTATTCTCTCTTCTGTCTGGCTACTTTATTGGTAAGTGCTTCTCTTATGTTTTCTAATTGAGAAGCTTTATTCTTCAGTTCCAGTTCTCTCTTTTGTTCTTTTCAATTTCCTCATTGAGTCTCTCATTGTTCCTCCATTCATTTCCTAATCTCCGCTAGTTTGTTTTCTGTGTGTTTTTTGCTTTCTTTAAACATACTTGGCAATACAGTCTGAAATTTTTCCATTTTTTCCAGCAGTCTGGCCTCTATATCAGAAATTTCTGTTTCTTCATTTTTGCTTTTAATTTCTTTTCTCTAGTGATTTTTGTGTTTTACTATTTTTGTTGAACTTGGGCTATTTTGTTACTAATACATTTTTTACTTTCAATGCTATTTTCTGATTTTTACGGAAAATTTTCTGATTGGGTGCCTTTGTGGTGCAGCAGCTGAATGGGTGGCTGCCAACCAGAATGTCAGCAACCCCCACCCACCAGCCACTCTACAGTTGAAAAATGTGGCATTTTGTATCCACAAAGACTTGCAGGCCTGGAAACCCCACAAGGCAGCTCCACTCTGCCCCACAAGGTCACTATGAGTCAGTAACAATCTGACTACAGTGGACTTGGTAGCTTCTCCTAAAGACCACTAGAAGACACCCTTATCCTTAGGTCCCCCCCCCTACACACACACACACACTGATGAGTCGAAGTTTTGGGGCTTGATCTCTAGAATTCAATATGCATATGCTGGGTTGAGGGTTAGGGGGTTCCAGATACTGACATAAGCAGTGAGGCTTAGCTTTCCCCTGTAGCTGAGGGCTATGTCTTTCCCTCATGGATGCCTTTACACAGGCTCTCCCATGGTGTCAGACTGTGGGCAGAGCCAGCTGTTTCCCACTGTGTTGCCCATCCAATGTATTCCCCTCAACTGTATGCCCTTGCAGTTCCTCCCACTCCTATTGCCCATCTGTTTCAGTCTTTGGCAAGATCCTACAGGATTCTCTCACAGTACCTTGATCTCTCTTCACCACATCCCAATTATATAGCCTGCAAATTATGAAGGCCAATCTGTGCTATCTTAAAAAAAAAAAAAAATCAGGCCACAGGTTCCTCACTTTAGTGCCTTTCTGTATTCTCTGTTTGGAATGTTGCCCAACACTGAGCAAAATGGCTGTGATGAATTAGTGCTCCAGATGTTAGCTGGGAGGGTCTCCCAGCTTCTATGCCATCCCCACTCCTGCTCTTCCTCACCTCTGAACTAACCCTGAGTCTCCAAGACCTCAACTGCCATCCAGAGTCCTGAGATCTCAATCTGTGCTTATTTTCATCCTTTCTTCAGTCAGTTAGTCACTAGGTAAGTGGGGACCTCCATTCACTTTGCCATCTTGCTCTGCCCCCCAGCCAGTTTATCTCTTAAAAACATATCACATTATGGTACTTCCCTGAGTAAAAGCCTTTAGAGGTTCTCAGTGCACTAACTAAAAAATAAAGATTTCTTAACATGACTGACAAGGCCCATTGAGATCTGGCCCCTGCCTTCCTCTCCCCCTTTGATATCTATATCTCAAATACATACATGGGGCCTCTTTCAGGTACCTCAGTGCATCAAATTCCCACCTCCCACCACAGGGAGTACCCCTTCAAGGGTTTTACAAAAGATAGTCTTTCTATTGGAAATATCCTTCCCTCACTTATTTGTTCTTCTCATACATGGAATTCATGACAATTTGTATGTTTCTGGGAGGGTTACTATTTTACCATCAGGTTCCCTAGCTCATATTATAAGCTCTATGAGGACAGAGACCACATCTTCTGTTCTTTTTGCCTCTTTACACACAGAATTTATCACACAGAAAGTGTTCAATATTGATTTAAAGCACTCTTGGATTTTCTTTACTGTTGGCATATATGAATTACTGAAATTTTCTTCTCATTCCTACAAAGGTGACTTTACCTGGCTTTCATCATCTCCAAAATTAGAAGAAGGGAAGATAAATTATATTGGCAAAACTAGAAACTAATGAATGAATGATTGAAATGAGGTTGACTGATATACGATGTGTATTGTTCCAAGGGACTTTTAATTTGCCTACCATCAGCACCACCAAACTGCCGTCGAGTCAGATCTGACTCATACCAACCCCTCCGTGGGTTTCTGAGGCAGTAGCAAAAGTGTTATGTGTTATGACGGATTCACATTAATACGGTCCAACCCTAAAGAAGCTTGATGTATAATAGAGAAAAAAAGAAAAACAAATAGCTAAATGGAAGAAAGAATGTGAAGTGAGACAGAAGTATAATTTAAGGGAGAAGCTGAAGAATTCTGGTGAGAATTGTATTTGAGTTGGGCCTTTAGTGTACTATGATTTTAAACAGGCAAAAGAATGAGCAGGAAGGGCTGTGAGAGCAAAGGCAGGAAGCACTAAGCACATTCAGAGAAAGAAAGAAATTTTGGCTGGAGTATTGAGTTCATATAGCATGATAATCAAAGCAAGGCACGACAACAACAATTGGGAAAGACATGACAAAAAGGACTGCCTTTTTAAATTCCTATGTCAATTATTTCCCTCATGGAACTGTGAGCTCCTTGGAGTCAAAGATTTCTGTTTATCCAGAAATCTATCCAATGTATTCCCCTCAGCCTGATGCCCTTGCAGTTCTTCCCAGTCCTAGTGCCCAGCCCATAGCACCACACCCAGCAAAGAGTCCATAACAGTCCATTAAACTCATAACAGTCTATTAAACAGTCAAAACACTGTCCTGTTCACTTAGAAAACAATGTCAACGTGTGCTTCCCTCCATGGGAGGCAGTGATTTGCAGCCACACACACGTAGCTGACTTATGCACTCTTAGGCTACTTGCAAGGTACAGAAATTCCCAGTCTATAGTCACTTATGTATACTTTATGTTTTCCATGTTTGTGATGTTTCATTTTTTAAGTTCCTTAGGGTAAAGAATACATATGTTGAATGTCAATATTAAAATGCATAGATTATATTTCAATCAGTAAAGCAATAGACTATCTTCAAATAATTAACAAATGTTTGATCCATCAAATACAAATACTTCCATAGGACAATCCATGCCAGATCTTCCTCTTCCTGCCTTGATAACAGAACAGTGAAATCTAAAGTAAGATAAGGGTCAATATTGGGTTCTCATTCACCTCTAATCCCTTCATTTGTGCTTTATGGTTATCTCACATGGGTGCTATAGCTTGTACACATCACGGTTTCTTGGCCTCAGGGTGCCTTTCCTTATGAAAGCCAGTATAAATTATTATTAAAGAAAAACTTGGAATTTAAAGCCTGCTCTAGTGGGAAAATTAAGGATTGTACATTTTTCCATCATTGCATGAAATTAAAATAACACCTGACTTGTAATTGATGGGGCTTGAGAATGTCATTAAGTTTTATCAAAATGAAGTGCACTTGTTTTAGTGCTAAATTATCTTGATCACCAAAAAATTGTAACATTGGCATGACAGATTTGCATAACTGTATGCCTCGTTTTCCTTATGTAATTTGCACATACCCAGATGAAGATGGACTTGCTTCTAGTCTCTGACTACTGAAAGGCGGCTCTGATAACTCTGTCACTAAGAGGCTGAGTGGGCCGAAAGTTGTCTCCCAAAATTCCATCACAGCCTTCCACAAGTTCTGCTCCTTTCACATGGGTCCTTAGCCTTCGAAATTCTTCTATCTGACAACAAAAACGGAACAGAACAGATCAATCATTTACTAGCATTAAGAAAGCTGGAGTTTTATAAATGGCTTGAAATACGTATAAAGCACACTTAAAAAAGAAAATTCAAATTACACTTTAAAAAGAGAAAAACATACTAATTCTTCCAGACTAAGACATTAGAGGGGAGCTCTGGTAGCATAGTGGCTAAAGCACTTGACTGCTAACCAGAAGGCTGGCGGTTCAAACCCACCAGCCACTCCTTGGAAGGAAGGTTGGGCAATCCTACTTCTGTAGTGATACTGCCTCGGAAACCCAAGGAGGGTTCGCTATGAGTCGGGGCTGACTCGACGGCACATAACAACAACAACAACAACAACAAGACATTAGAGAAGATCCCTGCCAGAGAAATAAAGACAATGGAAGTACAGTCATCAAGGTCTTGAGTTGTTAATGGGAAAATGATCTATACCTCCCCTGAAAGATTTATGCATATTTGTAATATGATAAGAAAGAATAAACAAATGATTGTTTTCTTAAATGCTTTGCGAGTATCTTTGATTCATGAATTCTGATGTTACTGTATTTTGACATTGACCAGATGTTGGATTTATTACATGACAGTTGCTTCCATCAAAAGTCCTTCTTTGCTGTGTATCTAGCCTATTAGAAAGCACCAAACCAATTGCCGTCCAGTCGGATCCTACTCATAGCAACCCCTCCTTGGGTTTCCTAGGCGGTTTCTATGTGGAAGCAGATTCCCCAATCTTCCTCCTGAGGAGTGGCTGGTGGCTTTGAACCACCAGCCTTCTTGTTAGCAGTCAAATGTCTTAGGCACACCAGAGCTCCCATTAGAAGGCACAGGTCCAAAGAATACCTCCAATTTTCCAAATATTTGAGTCTAATTTCCTCCCATCGCAATGTCAATTTTCCAAGTCCACTTCCCTTTCTCAGGTGCTCTATCTGGGCCCTGTGGCTTCCCTGTTACATAGGAAGAGAGACCCTGAGTCACTGAGTCATGGCAGCCACTCTGCAGTTCCTCTGACTCTCCTATCATGAACCTCCTAAGAACCTATAAACTTCCAGACATGACACTAATAAGTATTCAAACAAGAAAGTATGCACATTTATTTGTTTATTTATCTATAGGTTATTTCATTCAAATGCTACACTGACATATGATACAGACAGTTTTCATTTCTTTCACAGATGAAGAAACTGAGGCTCTGAGAGGTTAAGGACATTTTGAAATTAACTAGTTGCAGAGGTCTGACAATTTCAAGTACACCAGCATTTCTCCCAACTTCACAACCACTCCTGTATAAACTCTAGTCAAATCAGTATTACCTATATGCTGCATATGACCCAGGATATTAAGCAAATGTAATCAGAACAGGGTGAATCTATGAAAAGGTCACGCCACTGTGCATAACAATGTTATATTACAAAGGTTCTCCATGAGACAGTCATAGAATCCTGCCACTCTTTGTTAAGATGAAATGAAACATAAGAGATCAGTGAATTCAAGGGCTCCAGTAAGGCTTTAGAAACCCCTAGAGAGATTTGAGGACTCAAGAAATCCCTGCATTATATGAGAAATTCTGTATGCCCATGCATATGGTCATTTCCTGAGGAGTTCCCTGACTCCAAAAAAGTTAAGACTCAACAAGATCCAAATTAAATCTACTTACCTACAAATTGAACACAGAAGTGCAGAGAAATAAAATGGCTGGTTAACTTAGAACTCATATTAGAAATATGACTTTTAATGTTTTATTTTTCCATCTCTCCAAATAACTATTTGGTTTAACTGAGTGGGACATGTTTCACCCAACTGTGACTGTCCTGTTTTTTGTAATTGTTACATTTTGTAATTTACTTAGAGGGACCAGTCAAATAACCAGTTAGCTGTGTAATCTATGCCATGGTTTTCAGTAGACGTCCTTGTTGTTGTTAGGTGCTGTCGAGTCATTTCCAACTCATAACAACCCTACGCACAGCAGAATGAAACACCACCCGATCCTGCGCCAGCTCCATGATCCTTGTTATACTTGAGCCCATCATCGCAGCCACCATGTCAATCCATCTCATTGAAGGCCTTCCCCTCTTTTGTTGACTCTCCACCTTACCAAGCATGACATTCTTCTCCAGGGAATGGTCCCTTCTGACAACATGACTAAAGTAGATGAGATGAAGTCTGCCCATTCTGCTTCCAAGGAGCATCTCGGCTGCACTGCCTCCAGGACAGATCTATTAATTCTTTT